GTTAAAAACTTTGTCTACTACTCATTTCTTTATATTAAGAATAAAAAGGTATTCAACGTATTCCAGTTAATGGCTAACTGGATAACTTCTGTCTATAAACTTATATTTTAGTAATTTAAAAAAAAAAAAGCTATGTGCCCTTTTCTGAGTGGATTCGTGTTAACTCAGTTGAGCATGAAACTGGCAGGACACCTGGGTGATAACAGGCATTGTCTGTGGGGTTCCAGGGAAGGGAGTAGTGAAAGCTGAAAAGAAAAAGCACTAAAGTAGAAGTACACATTTGTAACTCAAGAACTCAGGAGGCTAAGGCAGGAAGATTACAAATTCAAGGACAGCCTGGGCTACATGGTGAGACCCTGTCTCAAGTATCAGAACATGGCTCAAGCAGTACAGTATCTGCCTAGCAAGCACAGAGCCCCGTGATCAATCCCTAGAACTGCAAAAAAAGAAAGAAAAAAACAATCAGATGAAGTTAAAATTTCTGAAGGAACTTTTATAAAGATATGCAAGAAGATACAAATGAAGAAAAGAACATACAAAACAATATCACTAATGTGTTTACCACCATATAATATATGTAACATGGTCTATTTTTAAAAAGAAAGTCACAAAGTCTTAACTCTTTCTAAGTGCTTTTAAATGGGTTTTTATAATTCTGAATTTGCTGTAGTTTTAACTTTATGTACATCCTTATCTGTAAAAGCAGTACTTTGTAAATTGGTAATATTATTTTCAGTCTTTTTTGTATGAACTATTGCTTGATTGCTGTAACTCACCCAATCTTCCAATTAAAAATCAAGTCAGGATTCAACAATAAGAATATAGTTCTGGAGGATGATGGAGTGGCTCAAGTGGTAGAGAGCCTGCCTAACAAGTGTGAGACCCTGAGTTCAAACTTTCTCTGTACCGTCAAAAAAAAAAAAAAAGTGATCAAAAGAATATAGCTCTGAACGCTATCATGTACCATTTTTTTCTTATTATGATCCATGGTAAAAAAGCCTGCGCTTCTCAAAGATGCAGAAAGTAGACAAGCAGAAAAACCTCTTTGGCTGACATTTCAGTATTTTCAAATGCTTGGAAGAGAACTATGGGAAACAGCCATTGTTACTGTCACTAAATTTTATAAACTTACATATACAGTTCTAGGGGCTAGTTTTGTGGAAATTGAGACCTGAAGGATACATTCATGTGAATGGAGCTGTGCTAGATTTCCAACAGGACCATTACAACCTGAATGAAAGTAGGTATGCTGAACCTAGTTTCAAGCACTCTGTAGAGTATAATCCTGCACAGGATAGATCTTGGCCTTTATCATTTCTCTACCATAAATAGCTGTTTGCTTATGAAGAATCAATTTAGAAGCTAATTGACAAATCTAGTCTCAATTGCAGTATGTTTAAAACAGGGAAGGGATGAGGGTGTAGTTCATGGTTGAGTGCATGCTTAGCAGGCACCAGATCACTGGGTTCAGTCTCCAGCACCAAAAAATAAAACAGGGAAGGCAATAGATGATGACTGGGGAATGTTTTGAGGTTAATGTTACTGCTCACTTGAATATCAAAATTCCAAATATTTCTCTTAACTAAAGCAACCAAAATTATGTATATATAACCAATTTAACATGTATAGAAAAGGTAGTTCTAAAGACTTCAAATCCCAGTTGTCTGTGGTATAGCAGTATGAGGAAATGCCTGGCTTTTTAAGGATTTTTTAAAGATGAATAACTGTCTTGCTTATGTGAAATATATTTTACAGGCTTACTGAGTTTGATAGCATCAAAACAATCATTCCTTAGTTTCTTTTGTGGAATTCAAACAGTTCTATAAAATGCATTCTTTTTGTTGGTGGTGTTTTGGTTTTTTAAGATGGAGTTTCAATATGTCGCCCATGCTGACCTCGAACTCTCAAATCCTCCTGCCTCAGCCTCCCAAGTGCTGGTATTACAGGCATGTATCACCATACCCAGCTTAAAATGCATTCTTAAGGATACTCATGGACATACCTGTAACAGTGGGTAAGGTACAGTATTCCCACAGAGAGTATATGGAGCTTTTCCCATTATATGAAACCACAGAAATTTTTCAGTACTTTCCCTTGCTCTGTATAATGGGGGCTGGTGGAAATCCTTATTTCTACTAAGTAGAATTATGTAACAATGTTTGGTAACACATAGTACAGCCACCTTATTTCAGAAACTGTGTCAAAAGACAAAGCACACTTTAGCCATAGCAAACACTAAAGCTCTTAAATCAGTGGAACAGAAAGATGAGAGACAGAAGACAAACCTAAACTCATGTTTTAGCAGGTAATAGTTTTCTAGTCACAATTATATGGGAGTAAAGTGAATAGAAAAGCACACTGACTCCTTTAAAATAATCATCTGTTAGTCCTTGGCATACCACCAATCTCTGCATTCATAGTTTATATATAAATATATATTCTATATTAAATAGCACAGTATATTTAAGTGCCCATGTGAATCAAAGTATACCACAAGGGATCCTCTATAGACTCCTACAAACAGAGCTCACAAAATATTTCACCTAAGAACAAAAAAGCACATTTAAGTATAATCATTTATATTAATTTGGCAATTTTGCCATCTTTAGCTAATGGTACAACAATACAGATTAATACTTAGCCTCTAACTTCCAAGAATTCACGTTAGAGAAGAAGCCAAAAGCATGTGTAAAATCAAAATCTTCCTTTAAGATCACAGGAACAATTAATTTGCAGAAGTAGCAGTAGCCAGAAGTGTCAGATGAAAAGGTGGGAGGAAGGGTATGAAAAGGGAGGGGCTGGGAAGGTGTGTCTGGATGGTAGGGTACCTGCCTAGCAAAGGCAAATACCTGTGTTCAAGTCCCAGTACAACTACAACAACAAAAAGGCAAAGGGAACAGCAAAAGCAAAGGCATGAATGCAGAGCACACAGTTAGATAATCAAATGCCCTGAGCGGCCAGGGAAAGAGGAAAGACAAGGATGCATGGGTGTGAAACAGTGGTAACTAAAACCCTAGCTGGTGACAGACTGAAGGAAAAGGAGACATTGGGGGAAGGAAGATATGAGGACACAAATGTGATATTTGGGATATTGCTATAATAATGGAAGCAGAATTGCTGAATCAGAAAAAAAAAAATCAGCAGAGGAGCAACAATCATATCAACTTAGCTTAACGTATGTTACATTTACTTGCCCTGTCATTTGATCTGCTCAACCCTTATGAATGAAGGCCACTATGGCCCCATTTTACAAATGAGAAAACTGAAATTTACAGAGATTACATTTTTGAGAAGACACCACTTCCAGTAGGTGACAGGTCCTCAACACAAACCCATGACTCTGACTCCAACGTCCATATTCTTGACCTTAAGCTCTTTCTCAGTACAGGCAATGAGAAAAAACCAAAAAGAATGTAATCAAGTCTTCAGAAGAAACACAGGACTTAATGACCACTGACCATCCACGTCCCTCACAGGATCTTCACTTACACACTAATTCTGCCTTTCTGAATGCTTCAATCAATTACTTCCTTCCTCTAGAGATTTCTACTAAAATATCGTGATATGCTTACTTAACAGATGTTTAAATTTTTTTATTTTTAACCATATGAAGTTTCAGATGTCTTGCACAGGAAGTTTTTAATCTAAAAACTTACTTGTGGGGGATGGAGATCTAGTTCAGTGGCACTGCAATTTTTTTTCCTTGTAGCCACAGAAAAGAAAGGGGAAAAAAAGGAAATAAAACAAACAAATGCAGAATTAAAGTAAGAGTATTTTTCAGTCAGAAAAATAACAATTTTGGTATTGCCAAAATGGATGAGAATGATTTATATGCCTTAGTCAGAAATCCTAAAAGGCAGACCTATAGCAAAAATGTTCATAAATAGCACCTAAGTAAAATATGAGAGGCAAAAAGAAACTCCTTAAGCTAAAATCTTTGGGCCATAAATAATTCAGCTATCAAACATTATGTAACTTTATCCTAACAATATACAGTATTTTTCATGAAACCAACATATAATTAGTTAGCACACCAAAAGAAAAATAGGCAACTGATGAGGCTTACAGACCTAATTCCAATTTGATAATTGTATCACTCAAAGGAAACAAGAATGATAGCCGCTCTATTTCAACATCCAAATCATCTTCCATCTTTTATAAAAATATTTATCTAAAAAATTGTTTAATATTTATAAAAATATTCCACCCTTTATAAAAATACTGTCAGCTTGTACTACAGGATTATTAAAGAGGTGGCATTTTTTTCAGTAAAATAAATCATGCTTCTACCTCATTGTTACAATACCCTCATTTCTTTTTGTTGTTTTGTATTTTGTTTTTCTGAGACAAGGTCTCATTATGTAGTTCAGGCTGGCCTCAAACCCACAGTCCTCCTGCCTCAGCTTCCCAAATGCTGGGATTACAGGTATGAACAATCACACCCAACTTAATACTCATTTCTGACACTCATTTTCTCAAAGTTAGTAAGGTGCCTTATCTATTAAATTCAAAGCTATCTTGAATATAGGTAACTTTAAGTAAAATAATTTTAAAAACATTCAAAGCAAATTATATGTTTTAACAAATAGTGCTAGTATATTATCATCTGGGGTTGACTGACTTTCCCCAGATATTAACCATTAACCACAGGTGTCAATTTAAAAATCTGTGTATAATTGTTAAGATCAATAAATAGCTGTTATAATTCAGTGGGAAGATGTAATTTATAATTTTTACTTCAATGGTTATAATATGACTGACATTTTCAAGGCTCTTGTCTTTTCATAATAGTATGTGTACATTACAGGTAGCTCCATTGAGGGAAAAACGTTTGCACTGTGTTAATTTCAGTTATAATTTCCAGCTTAGTCAAAGTTCTAACAGCCTTAAAGCAGGAAATCCAAAAGGAAATTCCACCATCAGAATCTGGGGCTTGGCAACTCAAAGGTTGTTTGAAACAGAGATATAGAAAGTACTCAAACTATTTACTATAACCTTACCTCATATCTTCAAGCAAATCACATTCTGCTTGATGTTTGGCTTGAAGTTTTGTCATCTGCTCAACTTGAATGTTTTTCAGTTCTTGTGTAACTTTCACCTAAAATAGACCATATATTTATGAAGGCCGTAATACAACTTTAACAAAAAATCCTTAAGGAAAACTCAGTATTTGTCAGAACATATACCTCTTGCTCAACTCTCCTTGAAGACCATAAATGCATTACCTGCCATCTAGTTTTATTACTGACGATATTTATGGGAAAAAATTAGCCAAATAACTTGAAACTGAAGCTAAATGGAAATACATAAGTATAAAAATGACAGGTTAAAGAGGTGCAAAATAAACGCCAGTCGTTCTATTTCATGCACAAGCTCAGTAATATGCAGGTCTAACAGTTTAAAAAGAGCCTGTCTTCATTTCTTAAAAAAAAAACAGATGCAAACGTTAACCATCAGGACAGGTGAGCAGAGTGTGGGTGGGGGAAGACAGTGTAAGAGTCTAACCACTGAAATTTACACAATCACGAAATAAAATACCTAAACCCACTACATAAATTATTCCATGATGGCAGCGAGGAAGCAGGCTGGGGACGGTGCCCTCCACTTGCTGACAGGTTATCAAATCACAATCTCTTTCTCACAAAGGAGAACGCAAAAGTGACCTTCCAGCATAAGCAGCGCTTTTCAATTAACCCAGCCAGCCAGGCCCTGCGGCCGCTGCACTTCAAACAGCAGAGCCGCAATGCCAGCTGGCCGGAGCTCCGCCCGCCAGGCTGGACCCCAGGGTTCCAGGTCACGGCGGTGGAATCCCGGCCGCTGCAGCCCCGCGACGCGGAGAGTAGGGGTACACGTGCGAAAGAAAAGGATTCCCTTTCCTGGAGAAACCCGGATTAAGAAAGGAGAAAAGGGGAAAGCAGGCACGGGTGAGTGGGGCATTCGGCAAATGTTTGTCCACGAGGGGAGGAGAGAACGGCCTCCTCCACCGGTGCCCAGAGGAGACAGACACCCAGTGTCCATCTGCAGGACTAAGAGCCGAGGACACAGCCTCGGCCCCTGGGGACGCTGGGGAAGGGCGCAGCACAGCAGGGAAGCTGCCACAGCTCAGGCACCCGTCACTCCCACCCAGGCCATGCAAACCCAGATCGCCGTGCCACGCCACGCATGGCCGGGTTTCTCGCTTTCCTGAGGGAAGTGCCACGGCTTCCTTGCCCCCTAGCCGGGGGCACGGCAAGAATGGGGGGTGGGGGGAGCGGAGGCAGGGCCCGTCAATCCTTAATTGCTTTCCTTTGGAGTGGGAGAGCGGTGCCTATTCCAACTTCTTTTCCGCAGCCCCGTGGGAAAAGCAGGCCAAACCTCACGCTAGGCTTGAAACAAATCCCCTGCACATTTGCAAACGGGGAGGGGGGTGTGGGGGTGGCGACAACCGACTGGAGGGCTCCAACCTGGTGCAGACTAAACAATCACACACAAGGCTCTGCAAATCTGCAGCCCCCACCACCACCAACCACCACTCCCGCCGCCCCTCGGTGCCGCCCGGAGAATGCACTTGGCAGTGGGCAGCACTGCCATGCAGGCGCACACGCACAAACACACACCCGAAACTCTGGGAACGTCTTGGGGTCTCCAGCACAGCAGAGGCGACGAGCCTCTGCCGCCCCTCCGCCTGGAGCCGGCGGCAACTCGGTGACAAACCAGAAGCCCCTTGCGAGAAGGGGGAGGGGGCGCAGTCGTCGCCCGGACCGCGTTCGTGGTAAGCATCCCCACCAAGCTCCAAAGCACCACCCCGGCTGCGTCCTTACCTTCCTCGGCGGCGGCTGCATGATGCTGAAGGGACATCAATCCTCCCCCCCCCGACGGCGGCGTTAAAGGACAAGCTGGAGAGAAGGGGGCCGCCCAGCAAGCGAGGGCGCGGGTATGTGAAAGGAGAGCCCGAGGAAAAGGACTCGCCCCAGAGGCGGCCAGGCCGGCGGGCAGCAGGAGCACCCTGGCCGGAGCGAATGTGGAGAGAGGGAGGAGGAGCGCGGGGAAGGCCTGGGGCCCGGGCCGCCCGGGGAGGGTGTGTGAGGGAAGGAGGCGGAGACCGCGAAGGGGCGGGGGCCGGGAGCGGGGGCGCGAGGGTCTCCCGGCTCGCCGAGCCGCTGGTGAGGAGCAGTCGCGTAGTCCGCGCTCCCCGCCCGCCGGCCGCGGCGCCCCCGCCACCCCACCCACTCGGGCAGCCTGGTCCGCGCTCGCAGTATCCAACGCCCCCGCCCGGCCCGGGAAGGAGGAAGACGGCACCGCGCTCCCCGCTAGGGCTCCACCACTCAGGCCGCGGGAATTTCCGGCCCCACCGCGCGGCGCAGCGCCCCGCTCCGGCAGCCGCGGGAAGCGCTCAGTCCTGCACTGGGTGAAGGGGCCCAGCCAGGCTGCGGCGAGACAGCCAGGCCGAAGCGCGGATCTCAGTATCGCGGCGGGGGACTGGAGGTGGGGGGAGAACTAACGGATTGGTCGACGGCGGGTAGGCGTAGAAACGCTGGCGGAGCGTGAAAATCCCCCCTTTCTCTCAGAGAGTGGCACGTTCCAAACGCCTCCCGTCCTCCCTCCCCCACACCGGGAGGCAGCAGGGGGCTTCCCGCGCGCTTTCCCGCCAGCCCGTCGCGGCGCGCGTCTCCGGCCGGGGGCGCGCACGTGGGCTGGCGAGGGCTCCGCGCCGACGCACGCGCATAGGCAGCCCTTGATTCCTGCCTGCTGCAGGCTTAGGCTGTTGTAGTGTTTGTGTTGAGATATGCTAGGGGTGGGGGGCGACGCTCACGGTGAGATTTTTGCAGTGGGGAGGGGACAGCATGCCGGTGGCAGTAGGGGAGTTGCGTTTTTTGCTTCCTCTTGGTCCCTCAACATCCCTTCCTTCCTGCCAACTATACGTGCACGAAGAGGTTGAGCATGAGCAAGTCCTTTCTGTAACTGGCCGCAAGACCCATGCGGTTGCAATTAGGAGTGGAGGAGGAGGGGCTAAGCAGTTGTCCAGCGAAGGAACAAACGGCTTTCTGCTACAGAGCACTCAAGACAAACGTAGGATGGTCTTAGGGTCAGGCTCCGCCACCCCCTTCACAGAGAAGTCTGCAGAGAAGCGGACACTTTCAGAAGGCCACACAACAGGACTAGAACCTCTAGGTCAAGAAGGAGTCTGTAAGTTATAAAGAAACAGCAGGTACCGCTCAGTGGTACAGTGCTTGCCTAGCATGCTAGATGCCCTGGGTTTAATCCCCAACACCGAAAAAAAAAAATAAAAGAAAGAAAGAAGCAGGTGTAGCATGAGAAGAACCATGGGGGAGTAGAGGAGGCAGCAAGGCCATGGAGGAAGCCCTTGTCTGAGAGTAAGGACCTCTCGGTGTCAGTCCACCCTGCCTGCCTGGGACTGGATGGTTGCGCTCAGCATCAGTATCTAGGCAGAGTCCTCCCCACTCCTGTCCAGCCCACCTGAAGGAGGAGTTTCGGCCTCCCTTAAGCTCCTTGAAAGAGTGAAAATGCCTCTTCCCCATGCCCAGGGAGTTAGCCTATGATAGTATCAGGGCTGTGTGGAGGTGAGCTGGATCATCCCCCAGTTTCTCTGGAAGTTGGAGACCCTGACAGCTATTCGTAGAAGTGCAGTTCAAGCAAAAGAGGAAGGTCAGTGAGGCCTGGATAGATCAATGTAACTTGCCACATGTGGCCAGAAATTGGGAAGGTGGAATTTGAACCCAGCTGGTTTACATTGAGTTAGCCTATGAGAGTCAGGGCTGTGCTGGAGTCAGATTTATCTAGAGCTGTGTGTAAACAAGGACACCTATCCTGATATTTCTAGTTTCTTTGAGACCATCCAAAAGTCAGCCTCCCATCAGAGTCCTCAATTAGAGGAGGGAAGACTTGGGGCAAGGGCATAGGTGGGTGGGAGCCCAGAGCCCTGACCACTGCTGTGGGGCAACAGTTAAGCCAGGCCAAAAGTAGCAAGATTGGGCTCCAGTCTCAGACACATCACCGATTCATTGTGAAGGCTTAAGATAGTCCACTCCTTCAAACCTTTGTTGCCCTACTTAGAAAATAGAGGCATAATGCCATCTTCAGAGAGACTTGTTGTATTAATTAGAATTTCTCCTAATGCAGGGTCTGTTGTTGATTCATCATTTGCTGGAAAAAAAATTTACTATGTTCCTGCTTTGTGCAAAGCCTGTGCCAAGTACTGGGAATGCAGAGGTGAGCAAGACAGAATCAGCCTAGGCTCCACTAGGGCCAAGTTTCAGACCAGCTGTCCCGTGAATGACACTGGATCAGTAGGGGAGGGATAACAGCACTTGCCCAGATGCAGTGCCCTGCACATAGCAGGAGCCTAGCAAAAATTTGCTGAGTCCTAGTCCTGGTTGCAAGTACTCTGGCCCAGAGATTATCCTCCCTTCACCTCCCTATCATGAAGTGAATACTGGGGAATATAAAGATACTGAATGTTGGGAAACAGGATCCAGTTAGACCACTGATCTGGGTCTTGGAACCATCTGCAGAATAAGAAAAGTGATGCTGGGCATAGTGGTGTACATCTGTAATCCCAGCATTCAGGCTAAGGCAGGAAGATTGTGAGATTGAGGCCAGCCTAGGTTACATTTTAAGAACTTGCCTTCAAAATTTAAAAAAAAGGGAGGGGGGAGTGAAGCTCTTCACATTCAACACTTTAATAATATAGACTCTGAGTCTTTATTATATTAATTTAGGAGGGCATCCTCTACCTGATTTGCCACCATGCTAAAGCCAGGAGTAGCAATGACTTTCTGGAATGATTTCCTTTGGAGGTTTTATATTTCTGGGCAATACCAAATGGGCTTATCTGCTAAGGGCTTTTTCAAAAATGTGCGGATTAGAGATGTGGCTTAGTGGCAGTGTGCTTGCCTAGCATGTGTGAGATCCTGGGTTCAATCTCCAGCACTGCCAAAATATAAATTAACTAAAGTGATTTTTTAATGTTTAGTATTTACTAAGTGCCTCTTCCAAACCCTAAACTTTCATATGACTTTTCTGAGATAATCTTCACTATAACCCTAGGAGGTAGCATTCTTCTTTGTGTGTATATGTATGGTACTTGGGGTTGAACTCAGGGCCTGAAGCTTGTTAGGCAGGTGCTCTACCACTTCAGCCATACTTTTTTTTGTGGCTCAAGTGGTAGAGCACCTGTCTAACAGGTACCCCAAACTTTTTATTTTTGCTGTGACTGAAGTTTGAACTCATGGTTTTGCACTTGCAAAGCAAAAGTGCTCTACCACTTCAGCCATACCCCCAGTCCTTTCTTCATTTTTACAGATGAGAAACTGAAAGAAAGAAACAAACAAGCAACTGGAGGCTCAGTAAAGATAAGTGACTTGCCCTGATGTGATGGATTTGGGACCAGAACCCAACTCTTCCATGAGGAATGGTCTACTTTGAAGACTGTTTAAAGGAACTGGGCGAGTTCACCCAGAAGGAAAATCGACTCAGAAGGATATAATCCATACATTCTAAACTGTACAGGATAAAGCAAGAGATTTCTATGACTTATGTAAGCCTGACTTCAAAAGTACCCCTTTGTACTTCCCCAGCCTTGCTTCTGCAATAGAGGCAAGCACCGTGTTACCAGTAAGATCTCCTAAGATTCTTTGGGGAAAATGTTGCAGAGCAGCATGCACTGTGGCCCTACAGACAGAACTAGGGCAGGCCTCAGCTGGGTTTCAGGAAGAAGGTTTTCCAGGCAGAGCTGCCCCTGGGGAGGATGAGTTCCCTGTCCCTGGGGCTGTGCAAGCAAGTACTGGCTCCCTTCCATAGAGGCCTCAGATGGAATTCTTACCCTAGAAAGCAATTAATAACAGCTATTATTTATTTGCCTCCATTCAACAGGCATTGAAAAAGGGCTGTTATTTACATTGTTTCCAACCATCACAACAACATTCATAACACATGTGACCCCATTTTTCAGATTTCACAGACTGATGCTCAGAAGTGGAATGACCTACCCAAGGGCACACAGCTAATAAAGGAGACCCATGCCTGCCCCTGGCTGCCTCTGGCTCTAAAGCTGGACTCTCCCTCCAGTGTGTGCTGCAATACACTTCTCCCAGAACTTGATTCTAAGGTTAAATCAGAGCCAGAATCAAAAGCTGTCCTGAAGAGGAGTCATAAAAGGAAGGGCTGGTGATGGGATGGGTGGAAGTGGCCAGTTAAAGGTACAAAAAAAAAAAAAAAAACCTGGCCTGAACAGGTATGTAGGTAGGCATTAGAAGACCAGCTATCCTGATATTCCACAGGGTCCTAGGAGAAATTGTAGGAAGGCAAAGTATACAGAAGGCCTTTAGAGGCTACAATAGAAGCTGCACCCTACTCCAGATTCAGGGCAGGCACCCAAGACAGATTAACACCATCCAAGACCCTCTCCAGAGAAGGTAACCACCAGACCACCTGCCCATACTGTACCAAGGCATCCCCAATGCTTCCTACAGCTGGATTCAACAGCCCTCTCCACTCCCTCGCCTCTCTGTCATTATCCTGTCCCCCACTGGCACAGTCTGCTCAGGAATGCTCGTCAGCACATCCAGATGCCAGCCCTTCCCTGCCTGGGCCCCACCAAGCCCAGCTGGGGATGCTACTGCAGACAATGCAATCTGTGGGCCTCCTTCCCATTCACCTCCATCCTACCCTGGTCACCTTTCTCTACCCTCCACTGCCATCTTTGCTCTTCCCTGAGGTAATTCCTTCAACACAGCCCTCCAGTCACCCTGGGGGATAGGGGTGGGGGAATGTGCCTGTCTTCTCTTCTAGCCAGCTCTCAAGATAGAATCCCGGCTCCATAGCTGGCAGACACCAGAAGAGGGCAGGAGCTTTCCCTGGACAACACAGTGAGTTTGTAACAGAAGTAGGCCTTGGATTCCATCTAGTGTTATAATCAAGGCTCTTATTCTGGATTTAATCATGAGCAAGTCCCTGGGGTAAGACCAAGGATCTGCCCTACAGGAGCTCCCAATCTCAACACCTGGGCCAAAGGTCACTGCAGTGAATGGGATGTGCAAGGCCAGGGCCCAGGTCCTAGCAGGTGGTAGCAGGGATCAAAGGCCAGAAGCAAGTCCTTAAGAGGCATGCACTGTGATAGGTCTGGTGCCTCTACCTGGAAGTAAGCATTACAGAGCAGGGGGTGGGATTAGCATTCAGTCCCAGAACCCAATGAGCACCTGATTTTGATATTAGGAGGCAAGAAACCAACATTCTAGCCATGTCTTTGCCAGGCACTTGCAGGGTGCAACCTCTGGCATATCACTTCCTCTCAGCCACAGTTTCCACATCTATAGAATGAGAATAGCAAGTTCTCTCTGTCTGCCTCCTAGGTGGGGTCAAATGAAATGCACAAGTTAAATGAAATGTCAGGAATATGATCTGTAAAGGACTGAAGAGCCATGTAAGCCTGTGACCACCAATGTGGCAGGGAAGGCTGAGTGACTGCCTATGCAGCCTTGATGGAGCCTTCCATCCAAAGCTATACTGTGATAAAAGAAGAAAAAGAAAAAGAAAAAAAAAAGCTACACTGTGAGTATAGCTCTGAAAATCAGGTGCCAAAGAGCAAAACAGTCAGTTTGGGTGAAAGTGTGGTATTTCTGGAGGTTAGGGTTGGGCAAACCTGAGTTAGATGTCTGGATCCTCTTCTGACTAGCTTTGGGTTCTTGATGAGTCTTGGAATCTTTTTGCAGCTGGTTTTCCTCCTGTGTAAAAGCAGAATCATGATCATTTTCAGGATTGTGGTGGGAATTAAATTGGAATGTTTATGTAAAGTGCCTGCTACTGTACTGGCCCTCAAATGTGAGTTTTCCTTCATGTTCTGGTTTTGTTTGTAAATTAAAACATGAAACAAAAAGAGGAATTCCCACATGGGAAGTTGAGCCCAACTAGTGATCCAGTTCTGCCCCTGACTCATTGTGAGGACCTGGGAAGTCCCTGA